AGCCCAGAACTTTGGGCTGGGCTTTCAAGCCTAAAGCTCGTTAAAACCCAAGCCCAAAATCCCTTTGAACCTAGGCATTTGGCCCGTGCTGACTTAGGCCTTCGGCCCAATGAACCTAGGCCCAAACCCACTAAACCCAGCAAGTAACCAAGCCCAACCCAAGACCTGGATCCGGCCCAAACCTGATTGGATCCCAAACTTCAGGCCCGCATGGGTCCATGTGGGGGCCTGTGCATGGGCGCGCATAAGGGCATGCATGTGCCAGTGCGTGGAGCACATGCGCCTCCGTCGTTCATGGCAGCGCTGGTAACTTTTCTAGCCAACTTTCCGGCGACCCATCTTAACGCGTGGCTGTAAGGGCCGCCACCTTGCTGCGGCGCGTGAGGGTGCGTGCGGCGGCGCATGGGAGTACCTGAGGTCCCCCTTATGATTTTTGACGTCTTGAATCCGTTTATGATGTTCATTTTCCGAAATTCAATCATTATAGTAGAGTTTTTTTAAATTGGACCCTTTATGTGCTTAGGTACGATTATTAGCAGCGTTTCCGTCCCTTCTATTTCGTACGACTCTTCGATGATGAAGTAACTGTGAGCAAACCCCTTCAAAATGCATAATTTTACTATTAGAAATGCATACATAAAAAGTAAGATTTAATGGTTACGTTTTATGAAACGTTTATGAGTAAATTAGATTTACACTTTACGAGATATCATGCTTTACTAAGAATATTTTGGAATACCATACTTTATTGACTTTACGTTCTTCGTAGTATATATGATTGAAGACTATATACTACGAATCGGTTTTACGATATGACGTTGTAGCTACCGAACTCCGATTAAGATATATATATATATATATATATATATTAGAAATATTATGTTAATGTTTTTATGTACTTACTTAGTGGTTACTCATACGATCTGCCTACAGGCGAATGATATCTATATTGGCTTCGGTCAGGTGATGTAGGGGCCTACGGGTTGAATGATATCTATATATTGGCTTCGATTGAGTGATGTAGAGGCCTATGGGTTGAATGATATCTATATATTGGCTTCGGTTTGGTGATGTAGGGGCCCACGAGTCGAAAGATACTTATATTAGCTTCGGCCGGGAGATGTAGTGCCTACGGACGAATGATACTGCCTACAGGTGAATTATCTGCCTACGGGCGCGTGATGTAGAACCTTCGGATGAATGAAGAAGTGTTCTATTTGCCTTCGGGTGAAACAAATATTATATATATATATATATGTATGTATGTATATGCCTTATATATATACCACTACTAAACACATTATATACGATATATGTTTTATGGAAGGTTTTATGGCATGTTAGGGTTTTCGGAAAACCTACTACTTATTATGCAATATGAGTTTTCATAAACTTTGGGTGTTAGTACGTTGTTGAATAATTATGTTAGTACTATTTATATATCAACTTGGTCCACTCATGTTTTGTTTTGCGCCCCTTCAGGACATAGGAACGAGGCATACGAACCGAGCTACGAGGCATTCCCCTACCAGTGATATTGTGCCATCCTCTCTGCTTTTGACATCACTTGTAATAGTACTTTTTGTTACACCTTCCGCTTGTATTCTGAATTAGATGTATGCTCTGAATATGTCATGCATTATCACTATCATTTTATTGACGATTGAATATTATTATAATATTTTGATAAGGTTCGTATTTAAATTTTACATTATGAGTAGTTCAAGCGAAATTTATACGCATGTTTCACATGTCCTCGGCATATGCATTCATTAAATGGTCTGCGTCACCCTCGGGTGTCGGCCAACACGTGACCATCCCGTTGTCCTCTAGACATCGAAATCAGAGCATGTCATCAACTTTCATGATATGGCAACATCAAATAATCTACTAACCACGAATTTTTAATTCTCTAATCAATTTTCTTAATTGAACATGGCTTCCTCTCTTTTAAATTATGGCATGTAAAATAACCTAATTTCTGCCCTTACATCCCAAGTGAAACAAAAACTTGGAAAAGACATTGCATGGCATTGTCCGGTGGTTTTCATGAGTAATGCCAAAACTAATGCTCTAATAGTATGACATACTGCCGCATTTGCAGCTGTTACATTCAATCCAAAAATTGGATATAACAGCCCTAAGTGACGGATTATGCAATACACCAGTATATGGCAGAAATATTAGTTAGTTAAAAACTTAGGATATATTTTAGGACGTACCTTTTTTTAGGGATGAGTAGGATATGCTTTCAGAGTTAATCATGTTAAGATAAATATAGCAGTTAGAAAGTGCATAGTAGTGTTGTGACCACCTATGTGAGTGTAATAGGCTAAAAATTAAGACTTCGACTCATTTGGAACCAAAAATTGGCGTCGACAGTTTTTTCATCATTTCTTAAAAGTTGTATATTCTGAGCTAATTTTATGCAGTTAATTAGAATATTAACCGTCACTTAGTACTACAATCTTTTCACTTAGCATATTTAGACTTAATCTACTCTCATATCCCTATTTTTCCAATTCTTTAATGTAGATAATATCGTTTATTAAAAAAAAAAAATTAGAATAGTAACCGAGTCGTATCGTGTTTGTGTTTGCTTTGACATGTATGGTATGCGAAATTTAAGACTTGAACAAGAAAACTCAAAAACTAACAAAAAAGAGTAACAGAAAACTACGCGTTAAAGCACCATTGATGTTGATAGTACGACGATCATTTGGCAAATTAGAATGGGAAATGATTACGTATATATTCCTCATCTTCAATTCACATTCCAAAAGCTATACCTATCACATACTAGTTGATCATTATTCCCGCACACTAGATAGATTTAAAGAAAATTTTGTTTTGTTCTGAAATTGACGATATATGTGCAATAGAAAATAAAGTAAATAAGACATAATATTTACGAGGTTCGACAAATATGTCTACGTCCTTGGGACAACATTAGTATTTTTCTCTCATTATAAAAAATAATAGGAGTATAAAGATAACTCTCACTATATTTCTATCTTCACTCTAGCCTTCCTTTTCTCTTATTTTTTTTCTTTTCTCTCCTCTCTTTCTTATCTTACTTCCGTGTTTGTTTTCTTTTGCATGTGTCTCTTTGAGAGCTATTGTGTTCCTTTATATAATTGAAAACAAGTGGGATGTGTTTCTCCATCAAGCCACTTCTTTTGACAATTTGTGAATGTATGGGGTCATCTACTCAAATCATATAATGGATGGAAGACATGTGGGCGTCCATATATACAACATATTTAAATTTATCTTTGTTTATTGTAATCTTATAGGTTTGTATTTTGGGGTTTTATTTCCTTTCACTTTTGAACTACTCATGATTTGCAAGTTTGCAATGCTTTTCCAATGGCGGCTTTAATGTGTTCATTTGTGTATTTACCTTGACGACCATAATATACCTATGAATATGATCACCCTTTGAAGCAGAAGCAACAGCAGCAGATCCAAGTTCTACGAATCTAACTTTGCCACGAGCAAAATCCAAAACGACAATATTAGAGCAATATTTGAAGTAAATGCCACGATCCCAATCACCTGCAGGCCCAAGATGAACACCAAGGAAACAAAAAGGAGTCTGCCATCTTCATGTCTATGCAGTTTTCTTTTTCTCGCACTAACTTATCATAACTTTTCATCACCTGTATGTCAACTATGTATCTTCAGCAAAAACTGAACCAACTTCAACAATGACCATACAACCTCTCACAATAACCAAGTGAAGATTACGACGGCTTAACTTTGGAAATTTGGAAATTAGGGTTGAGGAGTCCATTCAAACCTTTCCTTTTTCAAGTTAAGAGAAAGTATCTAGTTTTTTAATTCAATTTCAAGACTATCATCATCAGAAGAATCATGAAAGAGATCTTGTGGGAGCAAGAACTAGCATTGTAGCCCATACCATACCACTCATATTTGCAGTTTGGAGGTTCATCAAATTCACTTGGTGGGAGTTTTAAACTTCTCCTATTAGAGGATTGACTAGGACAACTTGGCCTCCTAATGATCTTGCTTTTTGAAGCAAAGCAAGCCGTAGGAAGAAAACGTGAGATTGTAGTGGCCAGTTCTAATGAAGGTTGGAAAGTCGAAGGCAAGTTCATTCTTGCCTATATGATGATCATACAACAATGGTAAGGTGATTAACTTAGACCTGGTGAGAACTATGAGCCGAGGAGGCGGTGTCAGCTTCTTTAGATCTTCATCATCAATAGTAGAAAGAGATGGGCGTGACAAGGCTACGAAAGGTCTTAGTATTAACATATGATCCTATATTACTGAGAAAAGAGAATTGAGCAGAGAAGATGAGGCAAAAGGGAAACTTAGAGAGTACAAAAGCTTGTATTGTATTGATCTTTTGTTACCGTACAAATGAGAGGGAAAATCCCTTTTATACAAAGCAAAAACCGCCTAGCTTATCTTACAAGCTAATACAATGTTGACATGGCATTCCTTATTCAACATCCTCCCTCAATCTGTACTGGGATTTCCCAGTTGAAGATTGCTACAATGCTTAAGAAACTTTGGATTATGCAATCCCTTAGTTAAAACATCTGCCATTTGATCTTTGGTAGAAACATATTAAACCTGCAAATCTCCCTTTTGAACTCGCTCCCTTATGAAATGAAAATCCATTTCTAAATGAAAATCCATTTCTAAGTGTTTAATCCAAGAATGCTGAACTGAATTAAGACTTAGAGCTATGGCAGATTGATTATCACAACATAATAGAGGAGGATTGTGTAACACAACACATAAATCTCTCAAGATCAGTCGAATCCAAGCAATATCAGTAGCAGCATGGGCTAAGGCTTTGTATTATGCCTTTGTGGAACTCCGTGAAACCGAATTTTGTTTTTTAGATTGCCACGAAATAGGATTAGCCCCAAGATAAATGACTTAACCAATGATTGACCTCTTGATGTTAACATCAACAGCCCAGTCTGAGTCACTTAAGCCTTTGATATCAATACTAGTACCTGAGTGAAAATGTAAACCACGTTGCATAGTGTCCTGAAGAAATCGAAGTATCCTTTTAACTAGACGGAAATGAATATCAGTTGGAGCATTCATGAATTGACAAACATTGTTGATAGCAAAGGCTATATCAGGCCTGGTAAAGATAAGATACTGTAAAACACCAACAAGACTTCTATACAATGTTGGATCTGATAAGAGTTCCCCTTCTGTGATAAGAGTAGATTGATGTGGTTAACAAGAAGTAGAACAAGGCTTACACCCATCCATTCCAACCTTATGTATCAAATTCGTGATGTATTTTTCTTGATTCACAAAAATGGTACCATAAGATTGACCATGGATTTGTAATCCGAAGCAATAAGTCAATTGCCCCATGTCATTTAGATAAAAAACTTTAGCCAAATTAGCAATGACATATTGAATATGAGAAGAATCAGATCCAGTGATGGTTATATCATCAACATACAAAAATAAGATAACAACCCCTATCTCAAAATTCTTAACAAACAAACTAGAATCTAAAAAAAAAGGTCTTAAACCCAAAAGTAGCCAAGTAATTATTAAATTTATCATTCCAAGCCTGTGGGGCTTGTTTGAGTCTATATAAGGACTTCACAAGCTAACACAAATGTAGGATGATCAGAATGAAGAAAACCTTGAGGCTATTTCATATAGACCTCTTTAAGTAATTCACCATGCAAAAATGCATTTTTAACATCAAGTTGTCTAAGGGGCCACATGTATGTTGTTGCCATTGCTAAAATGATTCTTACACTGGTATGGCGAACTACAGGACTAAATGTCTCTATATAATCTAGTCATTTCTCTTGCCTAAATCTTTGAGCCACAAAACGAGCTTTATAAAGAGCAACAGTTCTATTAGGATTCCGTTTTATAAAATTTTGATCCAGTAATATTCTTATCAGGAGGTAAAGGTACAAGAGTCCAGGTACCTTGAGTTTGCAATGCATCGTACTCTTCTTGCATAGCTTGTTGCCACTAAGGAATTTGTGATGTAACCCTGAAAGATGAAGGCTTATATGAATCTATGATATCAGCAAGAAATGTAAAACCTCCTGAAAAATGTGCACTATTAGAGTCAAGGGCTAAATTTGACGAAAAATTGATGCAAGAGCAATGTAATCTTTTCTAGTAATGGTACCAGTTTTAAGTCTGGTTTGGATACTATGAGAAGTATAAGCAAGTACTATATCACTGGAACTTGAAGAACTAATATATGGCAGTAAGATCTCTAACTTTTGTGATGAATGGATAGGCAACATAAAAGGATTGGAAAGAGTAGCAGGATAACTGGAAGAAACAGAAACTGAACTGAACTGTCTTGAAGTCCCATTATCCTGTGAAGAATTCTGCAAACTTGAAGAGGAAGACTGAGGAAAAGTTCCAAAACTAGTAACACCCTGATGTTCTTGAAATAATTGCAAATTCACTATAATAGGCCTAAGTGGCATGGCAGAAGGCTGGAATGAAGTGGGGTGTTGTAAATTTGATATACCAAAGGCACAAGGGAAACATGTTTCATCATGTATAACACTTCTGGAAATGACAACCTTTGCACTGACCATATTATAACAAATAGCACCTTTATAACCAAGACAATATCCCAAGAAAACACACTGAATAGACCTTGGTTGAAGTTTATGAGTATTATAAGTTTATGAGTAAGATTAAGTTTCAAATGGAGATTTCATCTTTAAGTTCTTAGTTGGCATTCTATTAAGAAAACAGAAGGTGCCACTGCATAATACCAAGACTTGAGAGGAAGTGTAGCAGCATTTAACAAAGTAAAAGTTGTCTCTACAACATGTTTATGCTTCCTTTTCCACTAAACCATTATGTTGGGGTGTGTAAGGATAGAGGATAAAGGGTAGAATTAGATTAATGACTTTTATCTTGGTACTAAATTGATTCTCAACATAAGCACAAAATCTCACAAATACACCAAAAACTTCTGATTTATTTATTAAAGGGTAAATCCATACAAATCTTGTGGCCTCATCTACATATGACACATAGTATCTAAATCCATCAATTGCTACAACTAGAGAAAGACCACAAACATCAGTATGGACCTCATAAAATGGTATATCAACTCTATCTAACTTTTCAGAAAAGGCTAGCCTTCTCATTTTTCCAGTAATACAATGAGAACAAGCATGAGTAATTACATCACTAGAACTTGACACACTAAAGTCTTTCAACAGTGCTTCCAAAATTTCATTTGAAGGGTGCCCAAATTTGTGATGCCAGAGAGAAGGCTTAACAACTTTGCCTAATAATGCAGAAGAAGAAAGTACACGTGAAGTAAGCAAAGAAGGAAACACATGCATAAGAATCCTAAACAATTCATTGTTGCTACTCTTTCCGTTGTACAGAACCACCTATGTTGCCTTGTCTTGCACAAAAAATTGTATGTCATCACATATAAACCAACTGTTATTAACCTTGCACAGTTTTTTCACAGAAAGAAGATTTACAGTTAATATAGGAACATGTAATGTATTTTTAAGATGAAGAGTGTGAGAAAGAGTCTTGATAGTTCTAGTGCCAACATGTTGAACATTCAATTCTTCACCATTTTCGACTATAATCTTCTTATCACCAGTGTATGGAACTGTTGATTTTTAGAGAGTGATGTTAGGGCTCATATGGTGAGAAGCCCCAATGTCAATAATCCAAGACTCACCCTCATAAGAGGTTTGATTAGTTAATGCTTGCATAGAAGAAGGCACAAAATTCCCTTGATCAGCAGAAATGTCTTGAGAACAAATTGAAGAAGTAGCTTGATTGAACACAGAAGGTGCAGGTTGAAAACCAGAATACAACTATATAGGAAATGGAGACACTCCTTTAAGACCAAAACCACCGATAACATGACATTGGCAAAGGAATTTGGATGCTGAAATTGAGAAGAGAGGTCCTGAAAGGCATAGTGAACAGTGATAGAAGGAGGGTGAGGAGCTCTTTGATAGGCATAATTACCCATATATCTGCAATCAATAGCAATGTGTCCCCTCTTTCCACAAATTTGACATTCTTGAACAACTTGACCACCACCAGATCTGAATAGACAAGTAACAGCATTATGGCATTTCCTAGAGCAAATCTGACATTCATGAATGATTTCTAGTCTATGAAAAGTATTACCAACCCAAAATTGACCATTTATGTTACCATTAAACCGAGGTTTATAACCGCCATTACCTTTGCCCTTATAGCAATTATTATTCCCAAAAGATCTATTACCTTGACCATTGAAATTGGTAGTATTTGATGGACCAAAAATTTTCCCATAAGATGAGTAACCAAGAAAAAGAGAATTCTGAAGAAAATCATTTCGCTGAGACACACCATTGGACTGAGAAAAACCATTAGGTGCAGACTGCAGATCCAGGAGCAACAAATCCATAACCAAAATTCTGAGGAAATGACATAGCGCCAACCGAAGAAGTAAGAGGTCCAGGCATTGAACTGGAAAAAAAAAATGACCAAGCATATAACTTGAGGAAGAAATGCTTGGATTGCCTACATTAGTGTACATAGCAACCATACTTTGCACAAGAAAATGCATTCTATTTTTAATAGTCTTTTCTGCACCTAACAATTGTATGTAAAATTCTTTCAAGCTAATAGGTGTCTCTCTAGCAAGAATAATTGTTTTAATCATTTCAAAGTCAACTAGAAGACCACTTAATGTTGCAATCATTACGTCATGATCTGAAATTGCTTCACCAGCAGTAGTGAGTTTATCCTTAAGAACTTTTAGTCTCAACAATTACTTATCAGCAGTATCTCCACCCCTTTGTATTGTATGTAACATAGCTTTCAAATGATTAACATTGGCACTGGAAACCGACATATATTTATCTTGCAAAGCAATACATGCATCATGAGCTGTTTTACAACCAACGACATGTTCAATTGCATCATCACTTACTGTAGTTAAGAGAAGACTAAGTAGGTCCATATTAGTTTTAACCCACACCTTATAGGCATTTTAATCTCTTTAGTAGTCAGGAGTAAGAACATATTTGGGTAGACAGATAGAATCCCTAGTAACATGGTCCAAAAGATCATGACCATGAAATATCGAACAAAACTGAAATTTTCATTTGATGAAATTATGATCATTCAGTTTTATAGTCAACATTCCCAAGAGACTATCCAATTTCACAGAATCAGACATGGTTACTCAACTTAACATTGCAAGAATAGACCCAAATGAGAAAATCGAATCACAAAATTACCTAGATACAAAATTCTTCAAGAATCACTCCAAATATCATAAGATATAACTACAAATCTCAGATCTTGACAAATATACTGGTAATTGACCTTAATTCATCAAAAAAGTGTTTGAATTGGCATCGGCCTTCTCGAAGACCACATTGAACAGAGAACAAACAATTCAACAGTCATAGACAATCTTTATGGCATCAGCCTTCATTCTATACAATCACAAGAATCTAACAAAGTAGAAAAGCATACAGCTCCCAAAAATTAAAAAAATTAAAAAAATTAAAAAATTAAAAAAATAAAACCCCAAATTCCAAAATTCTTGAAGATTGAACTAAACACACAAATACAAGCACACCTGATATGAAGCGAAGCAACGGAAATTCATGTCAAGAATCACAGTGTAAGCAAGACTGGCTCCATGATACCATATTAACATATGAATGAATTTAGGATATTTTTTTTTTCTCAGAGTAACTTAAAAAAAAAAAAAAAATTATGTGGACAATCCTAATTTAATTTTATGAAAATTTTAACCCAAAAATATTTAGATTCCGATAAATATTAAAAAAATATCTAAACTGACATCATGAAACTCGTGAAACACTATGAAAGAATATGAAACATAAAATAAATTTTTTTAACTACTTTTGCCGTTGGATTTAAATTTGGACAGTTACTTCTTCTTTTTTTACAATTGAATTTGATCATATTATATTTTAGCCGTTGGATTCAATGAATTTATAAATATAAAACTAAAAAAAATACATATATATGGTGGGCCAGCTCCACTAACTCAGGGAGAATCCTGAGCTAAATTTGCCCCAAAGGTTGGAGCGTTGAGGTAAGTTTAGAACTTAAAATTTGAGTTGTACTCCAAGGGTTGAAGTAGGTGTAAGTGTGAGGAAGGGAGATGAAAGGGTAAACGCGATTTGAGAAAGACAAAAGATGAAAAATTAGAATGGAAAACCTGATACTTTCATATCATTGACAACACAATCGCATGGCTATTTATACAAGTAAAGATATAACCGTTGGGCAAGCTTTTGGTTACGTAAGCGAAACTATACAATGAATTACATAACTACATTCTAATAACATCATAACATCAAAGCCATTCGATCACCCGTAATTGGCATTAGCTCCTCTTGAATGTGGGGATTCCTCAACTACCTCGGAACGTGGGGATTAGCTTCTCTTTCTTATTCATCTACTCCCCAATCTCTTGTTTATATCTCCACCCAATGCCAAGCTTCTGGTTATGATTGTGGTGGGTACGTACTCGTCCTTATTGTCATCAAATTAGCTAGGCAAGTAATTTAATACTTTGCAGAAAACTTAATTACTTGCACATGTTAAAATTATGTAACACATAACAGCAAATTCGGCTACCCAACATCGTCGTGCCACATGTACCAATCACGTATCTAACTAGTATGTACTAGCCTTATTTAAATCTCCATAGGTTGGCCTCAAAACGGAACAACCCAAATTAAGTTTTCTATGTGATGAAGAAGAAAGAGAAACAACAAGAACAAGGTGCTAAAGTTTGGGACTGTGGTAGTCCATTGTATGATTCTTATGAGTTGGCTTCAGTTGGTCATATTCTTGAGCGGTACACAACACCGGCGCCGGTGTTGCCATTTCTCTCTACTAGTGAATCTAGTGAGGAGGACCGCATCGTAAAGACAAAACCAAAACGGTCTAGTTTGTGGAGGTGGAAGATGATCAAGAAGGAGAACGATGGTGATCAAAAGAAAGTGAAAAAGTTGACCGGATTTTATACTGTTTTTCGAACGTTGGGTTTACGCAGGAAGAGAGAGATATAGCAGTGAAGGGTAAGATACATAGAAAGAGAGGTCTCTATCTGTATAACTTCACTTTTTTAAGTTCATGTCCATTTATCTACAACATACTGAAAATTATAAATCAAATTATCGACAATATATTATCGATCACATATAGAAGACATACTTGCACTTTTTTAACTGCACTAGAGAAAAAATGTACATATTCCTGAGCAATTATTATGTGTAGCCTTATTGTAAAGACTTGTTTTCTTTGATTTTATTTATAAGCGTGTATACAATATATACAGATACATATAAGATGTTTTATGAAATCAAATTAATTTTGGGATTTAGACATCCCTAACTTAAGGAGATGGGGAGATATGAGCGGGACTAAAATCTTCTCTTAACACTTGTATCAATGAAGGCTAATTTGCAAGCTTGCATATTCATTTCCAGCATGAGAAAGTTTATTGATCAAGGAATTGGTCAATTATTTTTTTTAAGCTTTCATATGTCGTCGTTGTCAAATACCTAAGACGAAAATAGTTTATTGTGTAAAATGTCAACAGACAAGTAACTCAATATTTTTTATACAAATGGTACTATTCGCGCATTGCGATCATTGAATTGAATGAATTGAGGAGAATCAAATGACAAAATTTAACAGGTGTCAGAAAAGTGTGACTTGTTTTGTAATTTTTTTACAAGATGATATTTTATTTTGAACTCTCTAACATGCGAGGAGAGAGTTACTCGAACTTATATCTAATTAGAAAAGTCAACTAGGCTAGAGCAAGCTCATTCATACCTAGCTATGCAAGATCCAAAAAAGGTTGGTAAGGAGCTATTGTTCTCGTTCTACACTAGGTCATCCGAGTCGTCCAATATATGCCGACATGGGTATGTGCTTTGCCTAGAATTTTCGAAGATGGGATGTTGCATTCTAAGGCCTTTTCAGAGAACAAGAACATAGTTACACAAAAGAAAGTGATTTCAACACACCATCTCTTTTCTTATACGTCTATATTTATTTTTGTCTCTTGATTCTTATTTGATTTACTCAATCTAAACATCGTAAATATAGTTAGGCATGCAAAAAAGAAAATGAATGTGTGAAAATCACTCATCTTTCGAAAACGAGTGTGTCAACATCACTTCCATGTCCACAGATACATCTGTACGTATACCGATACATGTGTACATATATTAATATGTGCACAAATAATACCAAAGTTCTCTTCTAGCGCTAGTGGTTTGCGCTTTTTGGCTTTTCGTGCATGGGCTGGGGTAGTCTTGCTGTGGTTCTGCTTTACTATTGTTTAATTTTTGCAAATTTATAAACAGATTAAACAGATAAATTTACACTAAAACATGCAACCCGTTTCAAACTCATAATCTTTTGAAGGTAGGAAACAATCCTTTCCACTAAAACAAACCTTTTTTTTTGTTCACCAACCTATAATATTTCAGTTTTATAGAACAAATTTGATAATTAAAAATAATAAAGAAAATACAGCAATAAAAAATAAAGGCCTCCGTCTAAATTTTACACAGGACTGACCTTGCAAAACATTGGGAGAGTTTTGTATCAATTATCTCTTATATGGAATGAAAAGTTGCAAAGGGTATGAGTAAGAATCAATATATAGCGATAGTATTTTTCTTTTTTGAACAAACAATATTATCTACACTAAAAAGAAGGGGGTTAGGTTTACCTTTACAATAGACTAGCAATAATATGATGAGAGTCGAACTGAACAATAGTATTTTTATCCCAACTAAGAAAGATATGCTGCTAATTTTGGTTTTAAAAAAAAATTCTCTTTACCTACGTCTTTAGTCAACGCTGACCAATCCAAATTGCCAAATGAGGTGCTACACATCACACTCATAGAGACTAAGAATTTATGTGGACCACATTGATGGATAATACGAACAAAACAAAATTAAATGCATGTAGCGACTTAAGCTACAAGTCAATCATAAAAATATTAGAATGTTAAATATAACATTATGTTCAGAATGTAAGTTATGCAAGTTGTAGAATACATATTTCGATGTGACGAATATCGTTGAACAAACAATTAAATGTCTGCTAAAACAGATATTCTTCTTTAACATTAATTCATTACGTATAAAAAAAAAAATGAAACAATTTAACGAGAACCACTTAAACTATTGGAAAGTAGATAATCCTTTTTGTTCCACACACACAATCAAACAAAAGTACGGATTGGCTTTTCAAGCCAGCTTTTTTCTTAACGCGGGAGTGACGTTCTCCGACTTTTCTCCAACTATACACAAAAGTAGTACTACTACACGTACTCACTCTGACTCAGTTTCCCGGAAAACTATCGGGGGACCCAAATTTGCAAGTTTCGTATATAGTCCTCCCTACCCTTTCAAACTATTGCAGCATAAGGATATTGCTGATGAAGATCAGAGGGATTGGATTGCATCACAGCGTAGTTCGAAAATGTAAATGCATCAAAGTGTTCTTAGTTTGAATGTTTGAAACTTAAAAGCTATTTGTAATAGACGGCTAAGACTAAAACATTTAAACGATGTAGAGTGTGTCATCTGTCTAGTTTGTTATGGTTTTAAGTTGTCGCGGATGTGAGCTCTCTCACACGAGTGAGGCATGTGAGCTTCCGACGGTTATTTCTTGTCCTATTCAATTCACCACAGCATATGTGTGTGTGTGTGAATCCGTTTGCTTCTGTAATCGAATCCAAGAGAAATACAAACTTTACAAAGAGAGCAACGTACTCTCCAAGCTAACGCCACCGACAAAACCTCTCAAATTACAGAAAACAACACAAACTATTATCTCCAATTTTTATTTTTTTCCGAGAAAATGTCAACTGTAATTATTTTTTGAAAAGCAGGAGGAACATATGCAAGTTTCAGAAGCCTCCGTGTTCTCTCGAGTCCCAAAAGCCAAGTCCAAAGTCCTTGTTGATAGCTTTCGGGTAAATTAAGGTTTACGGATTCCTAAGCAAACCTGAATTGAGTTTTGTTGGTTTTCTGGTTTCTGGTTTTCGTTTTCGATGCTTAATGATGTCTGAAAGGGCCTAAAGTTCAGTACTTGACCCTGTTTTTATCCCTTCCATGTTGTTTGGTAGCTGAGAAAATAAAATGAAAAGGAAAGAAAATTCAATTGACTTTTGGAAATCTGAATTGTTTATTGTTGTTTCAACTCTTACGTTGTTATGATACCAGGTTTTCATCTTTTTGTCTAGTTCTTGTTGGTTATGTTTATGGTCTGTGAGAATTTTAAGGTTCTAATTTTTTGTGATTGTGGGATTTGAATTATTGTTTCCAGAGGCATTGGATTTGAGGAGAGTGATGGATTTGAAGGGAGGTAGAGTAAAAGAGAGAGTTTTCGGAAAAAGAAATGATGAGTCGATTAGTGGTAGTTCATCAAGAACAGACAGCAAAGAGGTTATGGTTGATAATTATGGTAATAATGTTAGGGAAGGGGTTAAGGGTTTAAGATTTGAGCAAAGAGGTGCAGCTATAGAAACCGAGTTTGTTGAAAAACATACTCGATTTTCGCAGTTCCCGACTGATAATTGGATCTCTGGAGATGAGATTGAAATGAACGTGAGTAGGTATATGTCTGTAGTTTCAAGTGTAGAAGATATTTCGGCCCCCTTAATGAATTTTGCTGGGTCAGTGAGATCAAGGGAAAGTATGGACCAGTTTCGAGGTGTAGAAGAAGATCGGTTTAATGGGTTTTACGTGAGCCCTACGGTTGGGGCTCAGCGTCGAAGAATGCCAACTTCTGCTTATCCTGACGAGGGGCCTTCAACCTACGAGGTAGACTCTTTTGATGGTACGAGTGAAGTTGAAAATTTAGAGCAGAATCGAGCGGAGCTTCTGAGGAAGTTGGATGAGCTGAAGGAGAAACTGAGCAGATCTTATGATGTGGCAGATAAACCAAGGGAACCGGTTCCTATGGAGAGGAGTAGAACGCCGCCTGATCTTTATGGTGACCTGATAACTTGTACTCTTTCGATGCAGCCTTACGCTGTGGACGAGCAGATGACAAGACCCCCTTACTTCAACTATAGCCATGGACCTGTAACTTTTACGGATCATCATAATATGGTTATGCAGCAGAAGAACTTCTATCCTTCTCAAAGGCACCCATGGAATGTGATTCCAGAAAATGAGGATCCGTCTCAGCAACAAATGAAACGGAGGCCTCCCCATCATCCACTCCAATACCCAAGACCACCACCTAACGAAAAATTTATGGGACGGCGCATGCAATTCAATGCAAATCCACATGAAAACGCTTCTCACTCACCCGCTTGCTCTTGTTCAGGCTGCTACAACCCAAATTGGGTAGCTCCACCCCAAGTCCCGCTTGATGATTTTGGAAATCGAAGGGTTCCAAAAGCTCCGATTAATTTGAATTCCAACCACCATGTCAATCCTATTACATTTCTGCCACGTGATTATAATCCACGACATGCTAGTCCTCCTCCATTGCACACAAGGTGGCAAAGTGATTCAGAACCAAGAACCGCTATGGCAATCAATAGGCGCGGACGAATCTTCCATCCTGTAGCAGGTGGTGCCCCATTCATCACATGCTTTTGGTGCTTTGAAATACTGAAACTGCCGAGAAAACTTGAGAATACGAATAAGAATCAGTCAAAACTGCAGTGTGGTGCCTGTTCAACTGTTATCTCACTTGAAATCAAGAACAAAAAGCTCTTTACTTCTAAAGATTCCAAGCAACAATCTTCTGAGGTTGGTCAAAGTTCTAATGAGGCATTAAAAGGCAGCGTTTTAAGTCTTCATGGTATTCCGAATGCAGGTGACACCAAATCCCCCTGTGATGATTTAGATCATTCTGATCAAACCTTGCCATTCATTGACACCGAAGACAATTTACCGACAGAAGATCAGAAGCTGGACATGGATGAATCTGAGAAGAGGCGAGGTCCTACTTCAACATCTTCCATCCCTTCCAAGGAGGAGGAGGAGATATCAGATTGTGTGATCGCTCGGCTGGACATGGATGAATCTGTGAAGAGGCAAGGTCTTACTTTGACATCTTCCGTCCCTTCCAAGGAGGGGGAGGAGATATCAGATTGTGTGATCGCAAATACAGACGTTTCTGGCTCTGCTGAGTTGCCAACAAAAGAGTCCTTTTCTCCAAAGCGTCCAGGTTCGCCTCTTTGGGAGCAGCCTGGTAGTTCTAAACATAGAGTAAGCAGAGCCGAGAAGGGAAATGACAGTGACTGCAAGAACCAAGACAAGGCACTCTTTAGAAAGATCGCTTCTCGACAGAATTCTGTGAAAGATAGTTCAGTGGAAACCAATGTGGATGTTTCTTACAATGAATATCTCAATACCAACATTTCTAAAGACTCTGCAGAGGGAAGAAAAGAACAAGATCCCCCCAAAATCGGCAAGGGTGCAGATTCCTTATTGGTGGGTCTCATAAAAAAGAGCTCTAAAGATGTCTCAAAATCTAACCAAGGTGTGGAGAAAACAAGGCCTACTGTTTTTATTAACGGGCAACCTATTCCGGATCATGTTGTTAGGAAAGCTGAAATGCTCGCTGGCCCGATTCGACCTGGAGATTATTGGTAAGTCTGCATGTCGCCTCCCAACTTTTAGTGTATGACATGTAAATTCCTTCTAGCTGAAAAAGTAACTTGTTTCGTATCCGCATTTTTAACTAGGTATGATTTCAGAGCCGGATTCTGGGGTGTGATGGGCCAAGCTTGCCTCGGCATAATTCCTGTGAGAACAATAAACTTTTGATTTGTAAATATTCTTGTACACGGTTCATGTGGACTTATAATAAAGCATTCGTTTCGTTTTGCAGCCTTTTATTGAAGAATTCAATTACCCCATTCCAACAAATTGTGCTGCTGGCAATACCGGTGTCTATGTAAACGGGAGAGAGCTACATCAGAGAGATTTGGACCTGCTTGCAGGGAGAGGACTACCAACTACAAGAGAGAAATTTTATATCGTCGAAACGTCTGGGAGAGTGGTGGATGAGGACTCAGGGGAAGATTTAAAAAGCCTCGGCAAACTTGCCCCCACGTAAGTCCTTGTGCTTATATAAGTTTGATTACAGTGGCATGTTGATTACCGTCTTCTTGTTAAGATCCTACGTAAAGAAAATTGCTCGATCGATATCAAACAACTTTGCTTGATCCTTATTTGGCTATTGCCCTGTGTCTGCAAGTGTAAACTAAGATTACTGTCATTTTCTTTCTTTGCATTTGTTAATTTCTTTGCATATATGATAACCACCATTTGGTAATATATCAACCTTCATAATTAAAGATGTTTATGTATCAGCTTGTCTGATGGCTTATCATTTATTAATTTGCATTCGTGTTGATTCATTCATGATCGTTGACGTTTTATTGGACAGAATTGAGAAGGCAAAGCGCGGATTTGGCATGAAGGTCCCCAGAATGGTTGTGTGAATATTCACTGTCGTAGTTTCGATTTTCGCGATTTAAATCTTGTATGCTTCGAGTCTTTCAAGATGATAATGACGGGTCAATCACCGTTTAAACTCTTGGCGTGTTCTTGGATCCTATGTGTTTGTTAGTTGTTCATACGTTTGCATCTCTGCGAGTGTAGGTGATATGTACATTGTATCATCCAGTTGTGTTCGAGGCTGGATAGATTTTATCATGCTGTATTTGTACAGTATAGTTCTTCTGTATTATCGACGTGCTTGTTCATACATTTGGATTTCGCTTTGTTGATCCTCGTTGTCCCGGCGAGATTCCTGCTACATCGTACACTGCAAGGTACAGAACACATTGCACTGATGTGAACCATGTTGAATAAGAAGAGTATCCAAGATAACTCTAATGATCCCAAGAAGAAGAAAATAGAGCACACTCTTACAGAAAGCTCACAAAACAAACTAATTAGCAAAGCTTTTCTTATTTAGCTCTAGGCTTTGTTTTTCCTTGGATGATATACAATGCTTGGGGACTTGGGTATTTATAGCAAACCAAATGAAAGCTACACCACACACTTAATTAAACTAAGATTATTTAGTACCACACAAAACCCACTAATTGCATCTAATTTTTTCCACTCAACCATACCTAACATTACCTAACTTTGCAATTGTAAGCAATTACATCATCAAACTAGATATGAACTTGGACTTTAGATTGGGTTGTGGATTACTTATGGTTTTGGGCTTGACATTGATTCTCAACACTCCCCCTCAATGTCAACTCTCATTCTTTGCACTGTGCTGAGCAGACAGCGAAAATTTTCGAGCTTGCCTGTACTTAAACTTTTGGTGAACAAGTTCGCAACTTGATCATTCGTCTTGACCTGTCTCATCTCAATCTCTTCTTGTAGAACCTTTTCTCTGATAAAGTGGTAGTGCACTTCCACATGTTTAGTTCTTGCATGAAAGACTGGATTTTCCGCCAAGCGAATGGCCAATTGGTTATCACAGTACAATGGTACTGGATAATCTACTGGTTGATGTAGATCACTCATCAACTGTACCAGCCATGCATTCTCTTGAGCTGCCATTGCTGCTGCTCTATACTCTGCTTCTGTGGTTGACAAAGATACCGTTGGCTGTCTCTTGCTACACCAAGAGATGGTTCCAGAACCAAGCTTAAACACATACCCAATTGTTGATCTCCTGGTGTCATGATCTCCCGCATAGTCAGCATCACAATAACCAACTAACTTGCAGTCTTCACCTTTCTTGTACAAAAGACCATAGTCAATTGTACTCTTCACATATCTCAGTATTCGTCGAACTGCTTCCAAATGAGGCTTCTTTGGATTTTGCATGTACCGACTCATCACACCAACTGCATAAGAAATGTCAGGTCGAGTCAAGGTTAAGTAGATCAGACTACCTACCAATTGTCGATACATTGTCGCATCTTCCAAATCTTTTCCTTCATGTGCACACATTTTGGCGTTTGGTTCCATCGGTGTCAAAATTGGCTTGCATTCGAGCATTCCAAACTTCTTCAATAAATCTTTGGAATATTTTTGCTGTCAGAGAAATATTCCTTCTTGTGTGCGATCAATCTCTAGACCAAGGAAGTGCTTGAGTTGGCCAAGTTCCTTCATCTGGAAACGGACTGATAAATTCTCCTTCATCCGAAGAATTTCTGCCTCATCATCACCGGTTATGATCAAGTCATCCATATACACTAGCACGATAGCTAGCTTTCCTTCATTGGCGTTGACAAACAAGCTGGAATCTGCAGGTGTTACTGAATAACCACTTTGTGTTAGAAACTCTGCAATCTTACCGTACCACGCTCTTGGTGCTTGTTTCAAACCGTAGAGTGCTTTCCTTAACTTGCACACGTACTCAGGATAAGCTTCGCTTTTAAAGCCCATTGGCTGCATCATGTAGATCTCCCGATCTAACTCTCCATGCAAGAAAGCATTCTTCACATCCATTTGGTATAGATTCCAATCTTTGTTAGCTGCAAGTGCAAGTAGGACTCGTACTGTTGTAAGTTTTTCCACTGGGCTAAACGTTTCATCATAGTCTAGTCCGTACTGTTGAGAAAAACCACGAGCTACTAGTCGTGCCTTGTACCTCTCGATTGACCTATCTGGACGACGCTTTATCTTGTAAACCCACTTACAGGATATGGGTTTGACATCTCTTGGCTTTGGTACCAGATCCCAAGTTTGATTTTGCTCAAGTGCATCAAGCTCTTCTTTCATAACTGTCATCCACTCAGAACTCTGTGATGCTTCTTCGAACATCTCAGGTTCTGTTGCTTCTTCAATTATGGCTGCATTGGCGTATTTGGGATTTGGTCTCCGTGCTCTTGTTGACCTTCGGAGTTGAGATTGTGGAGTTGATTCTTCCGGTACACTAGGCCCACCTTCTTCGTCTGGTTGTTGATACATGCCAGTTTGCCAAGGATTCTGAGTCACTCTCTGTTCGACATCATCGTCATTTGGATCTCCTGATTCATCTGAACTTGGTTAGAGTTGGATAGTATGCTCCCCCATCTTCTGTTGCAGCTTTTCTCCAAATTCTCTAAAGTCTGGTAGCACCTCCTTCTCTGATGACCACCAAGAAGACGCTTCATCAAACACCACATCTCGTGAAGTGTAGCACCTTCCACTTGTTGGATCACAACATTTCCGCCCCTTTCTCTGACTGTCGTATCCCACAAAGATACATCTAACAGCTTTCTTGTCAAATTTGCTCCGTAAATGATCAGGAACAAATACATAACATACACAGCCAAATACTCGAAAATAGCTAACTGTAGGTTTCATGTTCCACAGATTCTCAAAGGGAGAAACAAATCCTAACCTTGGTTGAGGAAGTCTGTTGATCACAAAGGCTGCAGTCCTCATTGCTTCAGCCCAAAACCTTCCCGGTACGTTCTTTGCATGTAGCATACTTCGACAGACTTCTGCAAGATGCCGGTTCTTTCTCTCAGCTACACCATTTTGTTATGGTGTATTGGCACAAGTGTACTGATGACATATTCGACATTCCCTTAGGTATTGAGAGAACTCACTTGAGCTATATTCTCCCCCGTTATCTGTGCGCAGGCAACGGATCTTCTTTCCCATTTCTCCTTCGGCTGACTCTCTGAACTCTTTAAACTTTGAGAATGTGTTAGATTTTTCTTTCATAAAGAAGACCCACACATACCTTGAGAAGTCATCAATGAATGTTACCATGTACCGCATACCACCAACGGACGGTTGCTTAACTGGTCCGAACACATCAGAGTGAACTAACTCTAATGGTTCTTTTGCTTTAAAGTTCGATTCCTCATATGGCAATTGGTGTGCTTTACCATACTGGCATCCTGCACATACTGTGTCTGTTCGCACGTCCAGTTGAGGAAGCCCCTTAAGCATCGACTTTTTCACCATCACACTTAGCTTGGAATAGCTAACGTGACCTAACCGCATGTGCCATAGATCTGATGTCTCATTTTTCCTTGTCCTATCTACATATGCAGATTCTGCTGACATTACGTAGACTGACTCCAATCGTCGCCCCTCCATTGTTGGTGTTTCTGAGATTTTGAGGTCACGATACACCTTCACATCTCGTGGACCGAACAAGACATGGTGGCCTGATGATGTCAATTGAGCCACAGATAGCAAATTTTTCTTCATTCCTGGGACATGATAAACATCTTGAAGTGGCACCTGGTTAGAATTATATCGAGGCTTAACTATTGTTTTACCGATGTGAGCTATCGGTAACCTTGAGTTGTCGGCTGTCACCACCACACGACCTCCCTTGTATTCAGATATATTTTGCAGCTTCTGTTTATCACCCGTCATATGATTTGAGCAGCTCGAATCTACGATCCAATCATTTTTGTAGTCAATGCGTTCTGGTGTTGTTACCGTGAGGGCTAATTCTTTTTCTTCCTCCGTAGCGAATAATGCTTCAGCATCCCAGCCATTTTCACTATTCTCCTTCGAACTGGAAGTAGCAGTATTACTTTCAACAGGCTCTTTCTTGGTCCAACAATCTTTCGCCATGTGGCCCATCTTCCCGCAGTTGTAACACTTGCCACTAAACTTTTAACTATTACCGCGATTCTTCCAAGCTCCCTCTGGACGAGAGCCTCCATTTCCTTGGTGACTTTGCACCTTTTCTCCATCCTTTTTAGATCCACTACCAGTGTACCGCTTGAAGGTGCCTTTGCTTTTGTTGGTGTAGAGCGCTTCCTCTTCACTCTTCAGTGAGACTCCTCCCATTTGCTTGGCCATAGCTTCTTGACCTGCAAGTAAATTTTCAAACTCAACAAGCGATGGTTATGTCGGCCATCCTTGTATAGAGGCAATGAACCCTCGATATTCGGGTCTCAAACCATGGATAATTCTTCTCTTCATCCTGGTTTCCCCAATAGGAGCTGTTGGATCTAATTCTGAAATTTCGCGGCATATCGACTTCACCTTGTGAAAGTACTGGGCAATCGTCATGTCGCGTTGTACCATCGATAGCAGCTCATTCTCGAGAAGTTGCAATTTTGTATCGTTCCTCTTTGAAAAGAGTGTAACAAAAGTGTCCCATGCTTCCTTTGGCGTTTTAGCATCCCGAATGTGCTCCAACATTTCTTCTTCTATTGTGGTCTTTAAAGCAAACATTGATTTGCCTGCTTTAATTTTCCACTTCCGCAAGACGCCGTTAGCATCTTCCGCTGCCGGTTGTGTAACTTCACTACCACCGACAACCTCCCACAAGTCTTGACCTTGAAGGTAAGACTCTATACACGTTACCCACGTGTTATAGTTTTGGTTGTTGAGCTTCTTGATTCCTCCAACAACTTGAAGATCACCCATCGTATCGGCAAGACTTTGACTACACCGAACAAGCTTGAGTGACTATCGTGCAGAGTAATACACTACTCTCGACACAAAGAAGCTCCCTCTCAAGGTTTGTGATAACCCCAGCAATAATCTCAAGAAATCTTTTCTGATGTGGAAGATCAGTCAAAACTGCAACCACAGAGCATACTCGGAATTTCAAGAGACTTTACAACCAATGCTCTACCAAGAACTATCCCTGACCGACTTGGCTCTGATACCAATTGTTGAATAAGAAGAGTATCTAAGATAACTCTAATGATCCCAAGAAGAAGAAAATAGAGCACACTCTTAAAGAAAGCTCACAAAACAAACTAATTAGCAAAGCTTTTCTTATTTAGCTCTAGGCTTTGTTTTTCCTTGGATGATATACAATGCTTGGG